GTCTTTTGTAAGACATATACCTACTCGCTGCAGTGTCTGTCCCTGGGACTTGTTAATTGTCATTGCGTAAGCCAAGCGCACAGAAAACTGCTTCCGCCTGACGGCGTATGGAAGACCTCACTGCTCGGAAATTAGCGCGATCCGTGAGATGAAGCACACGTATCCAGCGTGAGCTCCCGTCAAAATTTCAGCTTCAATAACGCGTGGGGAGCACCGGCGTACGATGAGACGGGTGCCTTTGCACACGCCACTCGATGCATTTAGGTTCCGTAAGAGCATGATGGGTGAGCGAACTTTACGCTGCAGGCGATGTGGTGGCCAGCCATTTATGTCTAGTCGGTTTAGATACTCGGTAGGAATGACATTGGCGCCCTCCTCGTCATCAACCTCGTCGGCGCCGAGGAATTCTTAAGTCCCTCCAGGAATTATGTTGAGTACCTCCGCGTTGATGTCCGCAACGTTGTCGTTGCGGGCGGCAAGGATAGCACGACGGCTGAAGTACTCTCCATTAGCCAATAATGCAAAATTAGCCAATACGAATGACGGAAAAGGAGCACTACGGACGGACGGACAGACGGACGGACACATTTCTTTTTTATATAGACTAGGGTGTTCACCCGTCGTTCAAACGGACATCGTTTATGCTATTAATACATTTAGGGAATTTCCCGTCGTTTCGACCGATAGGTGCACAAATTTGACGCTGATCGTATATTGACTTAGGTAATTGATTAGTTCTAAAAGGTAATGTGTATGAAGGTCAATGTATACCTGTCGTTTCGAAAGTTGAGGTGTTTAACCGTCGTTTCGACAAACATGGTCTACCTTTTGACCTGTAAACCCATCAACATACTTTAAATAATTAGATTGACTTAGGGTAAAGATGGATACGAAGGTCAATGTGTACTCTTCTATTCGTCAATTTTCCATTTTATCACCCGTCGTTCTAACGGTACAAAGGAGTATGTATATCGCAACGGATTGCTAGGGTGTTCATTCGTCGTTCCGACGGACATGGTGCCTGGAAATGTTCGTATTCATCTTTTTATCTATAACAAATCTGGCTGATTAAGGTTAAAATGATTGGTACGAAGTTCAATGTGTATACGTCGTTACGTCAATTTTTTCAATTTGATAGCATGATGGACGGAGTTATTATATAAATCTTACTTTACATGAAACATAGTCATGATACCCAGTTCTATAGATAGATGTTCATCGACATTTATTGCTATACATAATACATATTACTAACGGTGATGGAAATCTGCTTACAGAGTCTGTTTACGTTAGTGCAAAATTAGTAAGGGTGTCTGTCGTTGCGACGGAAAGGTCCGACGAATAGGTGCGCAAATTGTACGCTGACAGTATATTGGCTAATCACTTTGCCTAAGAACATCCAGGTATATAAATAGGTACTGAGGTCAATGTGTATTCAGGCCAATGTAAACCCGTCATTCAACCGGGTACACATTAGCAAATTTCTGTAACGCGTTGATATACAGTCATTTATTTGTAGATAATTCCTGCACGCTAGTGAGTCGATAGACAATTGCACCATGTTTCATCGACCCACCTCTTTTATAGTGTTCACCTGTCGTTCTGATGGTGCGAAAATGAAGATATTGGCGTGTTAAACGCGGCAATTTTGCTAGGATGTATACCCGTCATACCGACGGACATGGTGCGCAAGTCGACGCCTGTAATATATTGACCTTTACATCATCGTTTTACCAATTTGGTTGACTACATTAAAATGATGATATAAAGGTTAATGTGAACTCGTCGTTCCGACTGACATGGTGAGCAAACATCTGCTAAATAATCTTCGTACCCGCTAATTATTCTGGTTGAGTTATTGCTACATATGAAGTCAATAAGTATGAAAGGCAAGGTCTACCTGTCGACGCTGGTCAATGTGTACCTGTCGTTACGCAGGTCAATGTGTACCCGTTGTCCGACGGACACAGCAAGCGAAGTCTGTCTTTTGATCTTCGTACCCATCATTTTACTTCTATATACCCAGTTAAATAAGGTAATTGTTGGGTATAAAGGTGAATGTAAACCCGTCGTTCCGTAATGTAGAATATCCGGTTGACTCTAGTAAATGAATAAGTATGATGCATTACATTGGAGTCGATTCGCTTATTGGAATTGGATCCACTTGAACCTGATAACTACGCTTGCTTTTGCCACTTTTTAGTGTATTAGTTGAGCACGGAGCCCATGTTTTGACTAACGAATCAAAAGCATGTGTCTCATCTACTATTCTAAAAAAGCTGTGTTTATTATTGCAATATGTAATGGTGAATATGAACATCTATGTGTGCCATCGTTTCGTATATACATTTTATAGATAAAAGCACGACATAAGGACACCCGGGGATGGACTAAATTCTATTACGGAAATCTGCTTACGTAACAATATATACAAAATGCAAATACAACACATATGGGTCACATCATTATTGTAACTAACTCCAAAATAATCTGATGAGAACGCTTGCCTTTGCCAACTTTCTAGTGTATTATTCAAACACTGAGCCCATAAATTAAAATGATAATGAAGCACGGACGGACGGATGGACAGACGGACGGACGGACGGACACAATTCTTTTATTATATAGAAGATAGATATAGAAGATAACAAAGCACTGAAAGCCTTTATCGAACAGGTTTCTTGAAATCAAAGAGTTCTATTTTGAAGCCATTGAATCGCGCTCGCTTCCATCACCTAGTTGTTGCGTATGCGTACGTGCATTGGTATTTAAGCCCATGATCCGATTTAGAGCGTATCCAGAGTATACGCTTTAAAAACCAAAGTGACCATGATACTGGAAAGTTTGGAAAGTCTCGTCACCGGTCGCCGGTAGAACCACGGGCGCGGCTGGCCGTAGTAAGGGGGCTATAGTACGGGGGTAATCACGGGCGCGGCTGGCCGTAGTAGCAGCAAGAAAAGATGCATTGCGACATGACGTGGACAAGAAAATATACAGCTTCCGCCTTTCGCACACCTTCGACAAATATGTGCTGCGCGCAGCGTAGCGTGTGACTCGCAAGGGTAGCGGTCCGCAGGGTATCCCTGTGTGTTACGCCGTCGATTCGTTGAGGTATCTAGCACCACGTTAGTTCCTCCCTTCACGATCTAGCCCAAGTAGTCGAAGGGTAAAGGCTATAGTCTGAACGCTTCAATACACTTGATTACCTAACTAATATTAAAAATCGTGTACGCCCATCCATCCTTTCATATGTTTTAGGCATGTTGATTGGCCAACTTTATATTTTGCAATAATTGGTTTATGTCGCACTTTGCATTAAGATCTCTACTACAGATTTGAGTCCTTACGTGGTGCTACAATTAAAGATGGAAAGCCCACGGTCGCGCCGAAATCGTCTGGCCCTGGAGCGACGTTCTCGGCAGCGTGCCAAGGAGACAGAAGAACAGCGAGCCGCACGACGGCAAGATGCGCGCCGTGCGCAACGCACTCGGCGGAGACAATATAAGAACGTGGCAGCAGAGCGCGAGTGGTGGACTACGTCAAGTCCTAAATTTGATTGAAAGCGCACATATCAAACGATGACCAGCATATCTTTGTACAGAAGTAAACAATTTTGCGGACCCCGCAAGAGCAATTTCGTCTATTTATGCATCGCGTCCAACACATTCCACGTTGTGAATGAAGCGTACTAGGCTTGAAGCAGCGCGTAGCCATAACATTTGTGATTTGCGCTGTACCATCGATGTTTGAATAAACATCTATGTAAATCATATGCTCAGTAAGATAATTAATCGCACAGACGTCAAGATCGTAAAGCCTTGACGATTCGGATATGACATGTCGATAACAATCGCCAACTAATCAAGGTCAGCGATCAAGTAGATACTGTGGCATCATCTGCAATTGGTTCTCAGGGGTGACACATAAGACACCACTGTGTCTATTATCCTGCATGATGTGAACAGAAGCACCGACATTGTGGATAAGTCGATGGGACAAATTTGCATGTAACAACTCTCATGACAAAATTAGAGCTGAGTTTCGGAACTTTGTCATAACTATATGGACACGATAATGGTTGGATCCCTGTCTTTTCAATGATGGGATCCATTTCCACGAAGAAAAGTACTTCGAGAACCGTGACAACCCCGTTGAGATCCAGTACCGGTTTGTTTTGTTATGTTTAGTAAGCAGCAGGCCCGACACTTTTCGTCCAGTGGTGCGTCTAGGCAAGTCTGGAAACGATTGTGACCTGAGGTTGATGGGAAAGGCAGAGCAAGTCGACCCCGCGTAAGATGCCAGGGATTACGTCATAATGGCTAGTTGGGACTCTGTAAGTGGTACAAGACTCCTATCCAAGCATCCACTGTCCCCTGAAAACAGATTGCTCCGAGTGCGTGAGCAGCCCAGCCACCGGTCAAGACTGCGCACAGATATAAATTAACCCCGGAGACTTGGTCAATGGACCTACTTATGTGTCTTGAGAAGAGTCTCCCCCATCCGTGAAGTCCAACGTATCGAGTCAGCAGAATGGGAAAGCGAGGAGGGGAACGATCGCGTCATGGTAGAAGACTGAGCAACCACTTAACCAGAGATCTTACTCATAGTTTTTAACTTCCTGTAAACAGACAATCTGAATCTATCTCATGATATTTTCATGATGAAAATTTCTTGCAGCTACCGCGATAGGTGTAGGCTCTTTATAGAAAATGAGGGTCGCCAGCATACAATAGAACACGCAAATGTTTGCGTGCAAGCAGATTGCAAATATAATATTCCCTTTTCAATTGACGTGCACGGTAGAATCGTGAATCTATACTTCTTGTGCTGCCGTTACTAAATGTATTAATACATGTGGTATGATTCTCTTGCGTTGAGGAAGCAACTCCTGTGTCACCATTTGATTCTCCCGTCTTGCTCCAGCTTGCCAGCACTTAAACTGTGACCATATAGCCTCCAATTACGAAAATACTATCCAGAATTATAGTCCTCAGTATTTCTCAACCTTGCTTTGCCTTCTTCTTGCTAATGGCACCATTTGCCTGTGCTCCTCGCGCAACAGAGCTTGATGTTGTGTTGGTGCCAGCGGTAGGGTGATAAAATCGAATCTCGCTCACCATTCGCTGTCGGATCTCCGTAACATTCATCTTCTTCTCGTCAAATTCGAGTTGAATTGTTCCAGGAGCTACAATCTCCTCCTCAAGCGAGCGAATACTGGCCAAGTACTTGTGTGATAGCGCTTCGTCTAACGTTGCCCGCTTGCGTGGGTTCATCTTCAGCATCCACGTAAGCAAGTCAATAGCCTCGGGTTCGGCGCCAGGATACATATCTTGCAAATTGCGCTTTGGTCGAGGCGGCAGACTGCGTAAGTAAAACTGCACGTCGGGGTCTGCAATTTCTGCGACATCTTCTTCCGCCATCGTTCCAAGCACGTCTAGGATCGTGTTCAACTGATCACGACTATCCTGCGGCAGCGCGATCTGACCAGCACCGGGGCTCAAAGGAAAGCACGAAACGCCGGGAAAAAGTGGCTCGCGCTGGTAGTGTGACGACACACTGCTTTTCTGCATACTCAGAAGCTCGGCAAATATGCATCCGATCTGAGCATATTGCAACGTACAATTACCATCCACAAATTAGTACTTCTGTTTAATCAATATCTTTACACGGAAGAATTTGATGTAGACAAACTTACCGACCACACATCGATAGCGGCTGAGTAATCGTGGTCTCGAAAAATAATTTCAGGTGCACGGTACCAGCGTGTGACCACGTGCTCTGTGAGTTGACGCTGGATTCGACGTGCAGGAGTACGGGGATGCACGCCAATGCCTTGAAGTATGCTCTCTTCCGGAGTCGAACCGTCGCCTAAACGCTTCCGCTTCCGTCCTGCAGTAGATGTTGACGATGATAGGCCACGTGCGAGGCCAAAGTCGCAAATCTTGATAGCTACAGGCGAAAGGTTCAATAATACATTGGCTGGCTTTAGGTCACGATGCACAATCTCCGCTGAGTGCATATACTTCAGTGCCTTGAGCAAATCCAATAGCAACCACCGCAAATGCTCAGCTGTAAGAAACTGTGGCGAATGAAGGAGCTTCTCCAGGTCCGATGGCAAGTACTCAAACACGACAAAAAGATCTTTAAAACGGTTCATGTCAAGCGGTGCAATGATTTCTCGGATTTGCACAATGTTTGGGTGTCGCAGTTGACGCACGATGCACAACTCGCGAAGAATACGCTTAGCATCAATCGGATCCGAAAATACATTCTGGATTTTTTTGATGGCCACAATCTCACCCGTTGGTAAATGTTTGCATCGTACCACTTGTCCGTAACTTCCCTGTCCAAGTACACACTCGATCGAGTAGTTGGGTGCGATTTCACTCCATCCAGGGATCGTGGACGCGTTAGATGCAACGGCTGCAGACAGTGGGGCAGGGACAGCAACAGCAGTCTGCACAGAAGGCACCACAGGATTCGCCACAGCAACTGGCAATGTCTCTCCAGCTGTGCATCACAACAAAAGACAATCAGAACTTCTTATCCATTCACCAATACAACCCCAGCTCCACGTACGTGTTCCTTTATTCTGATCCAGCACTGCAGGTGTCTCTGCTATTGCTTTCTTGTCCACCATGACAAATGGTAAATGAGTCAAATCGTGCGCCACTACAAGCATTCCTGCTCCAACAGGGTTGCCCACGAGTGGGGTACACGACCCTAACAGTGTAATTTTTGACTGTTCTTTACTTATAAAGTCTAGCATGACACTATTCACCGGTGATCCTCTGACACAATGAATCAAGGCATCACCCAATACTTTAGCAGTAGAAGGAGGAACAAGGTACGGTATTTCTTTCAATAGATTCCGTCCAGCCATTTCTTTCCTGGCATAACCACAGAGTTTAACTGCACAATCATTCCATAGAATCACGCGCATCCCTTCGTCCAATACAAACACCAAAGCTGGTGACGTGTACAGTGACTTGCCAAGACTCGCCAAACTCTCGGTACTTGCACAATAATTCTCTACACCAGCTACAAAGTTTTGGACACTTGATACCGTCGTATCCTCGTAATATTCACCAATTGTCTGTAACATGATCTTCCGTACGACGTTATTGCGTTGAATAGGAGGAATACCGCCCGTAGAAGCAGATACAGTATCAGGAAACGAAGTAGACGTTGATGTAGTTGAACGTCCGCTATCTGGATCAACCCCCCTTACTAATGGATCAAAATGTACAGAATGTGTCTTGTTTGTATTCATTTTAAAGGTAAAAGTGAAAAGTGAATGAACAAAAGGGGGGGGGGGCGGTATTTCGTCGAGTCAAGTACGTAGGGGGAGCTTGCAATACATTAAACAAGTATGACGTATGGAAATGATTTACCTATTTGCGTATTATCACTGCCATATGTCTTATTTCAATGAATCCGTATTGTTGCTAGCACCTTTCAAAAATCTTGTAGAGATTGGTGAGGCAGGCCACTGGCGTGATGAGCTGTGCATTGTTGAGCTCATTCGGTGGACAGAACGCAGCGGTCTTCATGGCTGGAAACAGCACGTGCTCTAATATTAAAGCCTCTCGCTCGGCATTTCCTGGGTACCGCATCTCACCGTACCAACGTGCTAGCACCTGGGCCACACTTTCGAAGCAAGGCTCCTCTTCCTCCCAACTCACTTTTGTTGCCAGATGAAACACAAACTCTGGAAGGGAATGGATCGACGGCTCGTGGTCTGGTAATAGCTGTGGCAATGTGCGTAGCATGCCTTGCGAATCGATGTCGAGCGAGAAATACTCAAACAGCATAGGACCGTTGGCACTTAGCAACGTCTTGATCTCGTCTGCAAGCTGCTCTCGAGGGCCGTCCTCTTTGTCGTATCCATTCCGAGGGTTCTTCAGTGCTTCTAACACCAAGTCAAAGATCGCTAGCGGTGTCGGCAGAGTAATCGGCTTCGTCGCACCGAACTGTAGCAAAACCTGCTGGTAGAACACGTGAAAGGCAATTTCGTCGTGTCGTACGATGTACAGCTTTGTTCGATATTGCACAAGCGAGAACTGCTTATCAACGATGCCCACAAAACTGTGCTCGCGGAAGAGCTAGTGTACAAAAGCAAATGGTCAGAAATTCTGTACTGCGTTCGCACAAAGAGAAAAAGTCTTACCCTCCCAAGCGCCTTATTCTTGTTTTGCCGCACCAAGCTCAGCAAGTTTTGAACGCTGGATAGTATTTGTGGAGTCTGGGTGGCCTCAAGACTCCCGCGGCGATCGTGCCCGTCCTCCGGCTCAGGTTCTATCGAGCATTTACGTTAAATTCACAAGAGTGCACACCGGAAGCAAAGTAGCGACTCCCCACCTTGACGCGATTGGGTCTCTGACAGTTTTCTCTTTTTCAGCTTAAGAGACTTCGCCGCAACGAGGTTGCGGTCATTAAAGTCATCCCGCTTACCAGTCCCGTCGGGGGAAGCGCCGCACTCGTGTTTCTGCGAACAAGACTGGGACAGTTGCGATAATTGGGTCTTCTGCGATTCAAGGAAGCAGTACTTGTCTATCGTGTTTGACCGATGGTCGGTTCGCACTAAACGCTGTGGTGCCTGTCCCACCACAACAAACACCAAATCGAGAAGAGTGAGTGACCAAGGGTGTGAAGTCACCGTACCCAAAAATCTTACCAGTGCTGACTGGTATTGCTTGGATGGTGGAGTAAGCTTTTGACTGAGATCAATTTCGATCGAGTCGACAGAGCAGTTGGCTTCATCTTCACTCTCACCTTCACGCTTATTGCATCCTTCGTCACTAGGTTCTGCTGCTTCCGTTATTGCTTCCTGTTCCAAAGGACTTTGTCGCCTGCGTTGCTTTATTGATGAGTTTTCATTGTTTGCGGAAGAGGTTTCCAACATGGCCGTTATCGACCGAACGGAAAAGCTCCGGCTTTCGTTGCTACCTTTCAGCTGCTTTTCAACTGCCTCGCTTATCGAATCAACGATATCTTCCTCGTGCAGGAAGTGTATCTAGTACCAGGGCAACCAAAAAAGTAGTAAGTCTCATTTTCTTTGCATCGCTTGGTTGTAGAAATGCGCACCTCTTCTTTTGTCGGGTGAATGTTCACGTCGATGTTGCGAGGTGGTAGTTCCATGCTCAAATATACAAACGGGTGTGTGTTTTTTGGTAAATAGAGCGAGTAAACGTACTCACAAGCGCGCTTTAATGCGGGGCACTCGACCAGGCGATCGTTGATAAAGAGAATGAAGTTGCTTTTTCGTAGGCTACAACATGAAAAGACAAATGAATCAGCTTGACACATCCAACAATAAGGAGTAATGTGAAGCGCCTGGCGGCCATAGCGCTAGTGATTGTAAGCTCAAAACTTACTGAAAGTTGGCATTGCTGATGTATCCACGGATTTGATGCTGTAAATCCATTGAGCCTGCAGCTCTCACATCTTTAATGAGCTCGAATGAAGTAAGCTCCTTAGCAATCTTGCTGCCGTAGATCGAACGTATCACGTCTAGTTGAGAGAAATTTTGCAGTGTGTTGACACTGCAAGAAGAGTCCCGGTACTATATGCATACAGCCAGGTGAAACATGATTGGACCAGCAAGAGCGCTTAAGCAAATACTCGCACCTTTTTGCATACAAATCCCACTCCTTTCGCTTTAAAGTGAACAGCATATTTCTGCACTACGTCCAAGATTCGAGTGTACTGCTCCGATGCATTCTTCAACGCCTGTTTCCTCGTGCTTAGATTGTAAAACAAATCCTCTACCTACAAAATACACGCTCTTCTATATCTCTTACAGTCCAATCAAACATTTTAATCATCCTCACTCACCAAAATTTGCGTGCCATTTTTTCCTGCGCAAGGCTTGGGATCCTTCGATTCTCCTGCTTTCTTTGCCACCAACTTTCCGTCTCGATACGAAGCTCTAGTACACCACACCAACAATACCCTAGCATCAGCATTCATATTGCGACATGATTTTATTCACCATTCGTTGTACTTGTAGGCGCATTGTTGGTCCGCTGTTTTCGATGTGATTGTCACATGAGCCACATGTGATATACTGGCGAGCGCTTCGCCTCGGAATCCAAAGCTCTTAATATCCTTCAGATCTTCGAATCTTTTGAGTTTACTGGTGGTAAAGCGTTCGCATACGATCTCCAAGTCTTGGCGCTGGATACCTCGTCCATTGTCCTGGATCTGCAACAGCTTGAGACCGCCCTGACTCACTGTAACTGTCACGTGTGTTGCTCCTGCATCCAGTGCATTCTCTAGTAGCTCCTTCAGTGCATTTGCAGGACGATGTACCACTTCTCCAGCCGCAATGCGGTTCACCACGTCCTGACTCAGTCGCTCGATACGTGCCATCTTCCTGTACATCTCAATACTGACGTACTTTATAGCGGGAAACAATGCGATTGGTTGAAACTCAATGAGTACAAAAGCATGATATAATTCTCTAAAATGGATGTATTGTGTCTAAAATGTACCCCTAAAATGTACCCTTGCAATTAAATTTTAACAATAATGATAGCGTTTACCGTGTACAAGTCGTCCAAGTACCTCTTCGATTGTGTGAGCGCTACGGATGTCACACAGTCGCAATCTTGTATGACTGTAAATATAGATGTGTTTGAAGCACTTCAGTAGGTTTTAATTTCGCAAAAATGCTGCAAACAATTTAAAAAGAGGGTTTGAAAATGTAGCACTAAATAATTGTTGTGTAGACTTAATGCAGTGGACGTTGTCAAGCGCATGGATTACGTGGAAGTCGACAAACTGATTGCATCTTGTCGAGAGCATGTACTGTATTATTGAGATGTCGTAGGGTCTTGGGCAGGAGTTGACACGTGCACTTGTTACTATTGTGATATTGTTACTATTGTGATATTGTTGCTGGTTGGGTATAGCCTCCGCAGACTATTGTGATGCCAGCAACACATGGTGACATTGCACCGTTTCAGAAGTTTGTAAAGTACTTGAAAGCTCGAAAACGAGTGAGGCAGTAGAAATGAGGTGATGCATGAGTTTTATAAAGAAGAAATTGACTTGTGGTCGTTTGATAATGTTGGTATGATAGGCTGGTGTAGTTCTACTTGCAGATGGACGTCTTTTGATACTGATGCCGCTGGAAAATGATGACTCGCGGCTTCGCTGTGTGGTTGTAAATGCAACACCTCCTACGGAGAATTCCGCTGGGTTGCCATCTCATGTAACGACCATTCGGATCGATGAAGCAGCAGCTGGTCCGGCTTTGCAGAGAGAGCCACAGGTTCAGTCTGCTAATGCTATGCTTCCACCACTGCACGAACAAAAGAGGGATAAACGTCGACGTGCTCGAGCTCGACCCAATAACCGCACACGCTCTCAGCAGGAAGATGTTGATGATACAACACCTCAAGACTCTGTGACTGAACAGTTCCGACATATTCAGGTATCGATGTTTTTTTTTGTAGCACTAGGTCGAAGAATTGTTTGTGACTTGTGGGGGTCAAACTGCTTGTAGGCTGAAGTTGCAGCGCCGACATTTACGCCTAATAAGGAAGTGACTATGTTGCACAGCTTACCACGGCTTGAAAGGGCAACGCGAATTGCTCAACTTCGGTACGTTGGTCGTCACCTTTAGGTGTTGTTGTTGGGAACGCACTCACGCGTTGCTTCGTTTTGCAATGCCCAGGCAAGAATACGAGGCTTTCCACAAATATCACTACGATGTATTGCAGGGATGGAGTAGATCCAATTTTAATTAGGCAACTAAGGAATAAATGACCACCAAAGCGTGACGTGATTCTTTCAACATTAGTGCTGTTCTTGCAAACGTGGAGACCCTTCCGTAGCTTTTGGGTTTACTGACGCGGACAACGGACGCACTACTCATAGCGCATTGCCTCCATCTCCTTCAGCTCCTTTGATACTTTAGATGTAGTAATCTCTATTCCCGTCTCCGTGATCTGTGCAGCAAGCAAGACATGAAAAGTCGTTAGCGTCGAGCACACACTATTCAAATCAGGCAGCATTCAATAACGTACCACAACATCATCCTCAATTCGAATACCAATTCCACGGAACTCTTTAGGCACGTCAAAGTCATTTTTCGGCAAGTAAATACCCGGCTCAACGGTAATTACCATACCCGGTACCAACGGTGCACCGCGCGTGATGTGCGGTGTGTCGTGAATATCCATGCCCAAATAATGACCAACGTGCGTCGGGTTGTACTTTTGAAACTCACGCATTGCAGAGCGCGAGTGTGGCCCGCCCTTGGCTTTCATAATTCCCAATTCAAGCATCTGTTTCATCATGAGATCCACGGAGTAGTCATGTAGACCGTTTAAACTAATAGGCTCCTTTTCTTGAATCATTTTTCTCAAATGCTCAATGCACTTCTTCTGGACATCCAGAATAAACTCGTACAAAATGACCTGTCCTACTGACAATTTTCCGCCGACAGGCCATGTGCGCGTAATGTCACTTGCGTATCCACCAGCAACTTCACATCCAGAATCAACCAGCACCAAATCGTGCTCACAGAGCAAATCACGTTTCGCCAAATAGTGAATCACTGCAGCATTTGATCCCGAACCCACGACGTTCGGAAACGCGTTCCACAGCGCACCATTCTTCTTGACGGACGCTTCAAAAGTCGATCCGAGTGCAAGCTCAAGCATGCCAGGTCGTGTATTTTTCATCATGTCAATAAATCCCTCCGCGCCAATGTCCGCCGCGAACCGCATACGGTTGAGTTCATTTTCGGATTTTACCACACGAAGTTGTTCAACCAGAAAATCACCACTAACAAATTTGCTATAAAAGTCCTGCGTAGCGTGTATAAAATTCGACGAATACTTTGCTCCATCCGGCTTGAGCACAAATACCTTGTCCACTCCAGACAGCAGTTTGTGCATGCCCAAGGCCAGGTCCGTCAACTGAAAGGCTTCATCCGCTAAATAACGATCTTTAGCTCCATCTAAACCGATCCGAGCACCATCCCATTGCTCACTGCGTCACAAAAAGCAACAAAATTTGTCCGAATTGTACAATTAGTTGCCAAAAATATACCCCTTTCTAGCAACGTCACACACCTGCGTGGATCCCGAGGACGTACAAAGAGCACAAAAGAGCATTTATTTTGACTCTTGACCAGTACTGCATGAGCATCAGGCTCCTCCAATCCAGTGAGGTACATGAAGTTGCTGTTCTGGTGGAACTCAAACGGGATATCATGTGTCATATACTTGACTTCAGCTGCGTTGGTAATAAACGCCGAGTTGTTTGGCATTGTGTCAAACAATTTTGCGCGACGTTCTTGGAATTCCATAGCCAATAGTCCTGTAACATACCATTAGAAAACAATTGTCAGCTATTTTGTACCTATAAATTTGAAATTTGCAGAAATAAGTGATGAGTATTATCACATACCAGGCTGGAGACAACCAGGCTGCACCTTGAAAGGGTTAAACAACTCATTGGCATTGGATGAAAACCTTGCAATAACAATGTTGGAAGTTTTTCTAGCGATGAGTACACGGGTAGAGAGCGCTTGGGTCTGTATCACCTTCCGCAACATGATGATTCTTGATTCAATATACACCTCATATAATGTTGCTCGTGTGTCGTCTGTATTTTATAATAGTCTCGCCATGATAAAGTACGATTGGTTTGACTGGCCACCCAGGAGCTCAGACTGAATCAAACCTGCGAGGCAGCCTCTCAGTAGCTACGTGAACCTTTCACCAAGATGCCGCAGCATGAGCATATGGAAATGCATCGTAAGCGCCATGGCGTGCGTATGGATGCCGTTGAAAAGAAGCGCAAGAAAGAGGCACGTGAGGTGCATCGCCGCTCCCAGTTTGCTCAAAAGGTGCATGGCCTACGTGCTAAGCTGTACAACCAGAAACGTTTTAAGGAGAAGGCTGCTATGAAGAAGACACTGGCATTGCATAATGAGCGTACGAACAAGCACGCCAATGACGATGAGATCCCGGATGGTGCCGTACCGTCCTATCTATTGGACCGCGAAGGCGTCTCTCGTGCCAAGGTGTTGAGCAATACTGTGAAGCAGAAACGAAAGGAGAAGGCTGGCAAGTGGGACGTACCGATTCCTAAGGTCAAGCCTATTGCCGATGATGAGATGTTTAAGGTATTGCGCTCTGGCAAACGTCGCAATAAGTCATGGAAACGCATGATTACCAAAGCCACGTTTGTGGGTGAGAACTTTACGCGTAAACCGCCAAAGTACGAGCGTTTCATTCGTCCCAGTGCCATGCGCTTTAAGAAAGCCCACGTCACCCATCCAGAGCTTAAGACGACCTTCCACCTTGATATTATTGGTGTCAAGAAAAATCCGCAGAGTCCGCTGTACACGCAGCTTGGTGTGATGACTAAGGGTACTATCATTGAGGTGAACGTGAGTGAGCTAGGGCTTGTGACTACGTCAGGAAAGGTTGTGTGGGGCAAGTATGCCCAGGTCACGAATGTGCCGGAGAACGATGGCTGCATCAACGCCGTGCTGCTCGTTTAATTGCCGTTTTTTTCTATAGATTCTTATACAATCATATATCGCTTCGATGCTCATTTCTCTTTTTTTGCTTCTTGCTAACGACTAACTATGATTGACGGGGTAAAACGTAGCTACTAACAAGGTCTGCTCTTTCCAATCTACGTTCTTAATTCTTGTAGTTCTCAATCAAGCCGACGTAGGCAAGTCCGCTGTCAGCGCAAGCCGCAAGCAGCGCGTACTTACCGCCCTCTTTCTGCAATTTGTTGGACGCCGTGTTCACTAATCGACTACCAGTGGCACCAAACGGGTGTCCAAGTGACAGCGAGCTTCCCCACGTGTTCAGCTTCTCCAATGGTACACGTCCAACAGCTTGGTCGATTCCAAAGAGCTCCTTGCAGTGCTTGGGCTCCGCCAGAGCGTTCAAATTAGCCAGCACCTGTCCAGCAAAGGCCTCATGGATTTCAAAGTAGTCAATGTCGCTCAATTTTATCTTGTTCTTGGCCAAAATTTGTTGAATGCCGTACGCTGGACCTAGCAGCAGAGTCTCAAAGGGGTCGACGCCTACAAACAGCCAGTCCTTCAGCACCGACTTTGGCTTGTATCCAAGCTCCAGAGCTTTGTCCTCCGACATAATCAGTGTCGCAGCAGCTCCGTCGGTCAAAAAGGACGAATTAGCTGCTGTATGAGTACCATGAGGCTTGACAAAGGCCGGCTTCAACGTCGAGATCTTTTCAAGTGTAGAGTCAGGGTTTACTCCATTTTCCTCCGTGCTTCCTTTGTACGGCAAGATTTCTCCTTTGTATTTGCCATCCACATGAGCTCGATAGGCTTTCTGATGAGCTTCGATAGTATACTGATCCATCTCTTGTCTCGTGACTCCAAACCTAGTAGCTAGACGATCACTGGATGAGCCCATGATCTCTCTAGTATGAAAGTTCTGAATTGCTGGAGCGACGGGAACAAAGTCCGAGAGTTTCAGTCCTCGTAGCAATTTCAAAGCTTCCAATGGTCCTTTCTTCATGGCTTTTGGTGCATTAATTAGTCGCTCTCGAATAGGTTTTGAAAAGCGAATAGGGACGTCAGAGAACGTCTCAACACCTCCTGCCAACACAATATCAGCATGACCCGAAAGGATCTTTTCAGCACCTGAACAGATCGCTTGACTCGAAGAAATACAAGCCTGGGTGACTGTGTGTGCTGGTACGTGCTTCGGAATACCAGCGCCTAGTGCTGCCTCGCGTGCAATATTAGACGTTCCAACTTCCTGGATCACTGTGCCAGCCACTACGTAATCAATAATCTTGGGATCAATGGCTGTCTTATTAATAAGACCCTTAAAGACGTCACGCATCATGTCGTAGGCAATCACGTCCTTGTAGACGGTACCAGACTTGGTAAAGGGAAGACGCACACCATCAACGACCACCACGCGCTTCTCTGCGGTTGAAAACGAGCGGAAAGAACGAGCGTTTAATGTTACGAGAATACGACGACTTGTGAGCATATTGAAGAGATGTTGAAGACACGAAGCAAATTCCAAAGTGAGATCTTATGTCTTTTTTATTCGGAATAAAGAGCTCTGATTGGTTGAAGTAAACTCACGTTGATTACAAAACGGGACCCAACGTGATGAAAGTCTTTTTTATGGGATAAGGTTTTTACCGGTTTTTAACATCTCACTTTTAAACAATTTTTTAGGGACAGCCGACACAAAATTGGTTCTACTGCCAAATAAGCTGCAACTGCGTATGGGCGTTTGCTTGTCTGCTCTGTGATCTTTCTCTTTTTGCTCTCAACGTCAAGCTGCATCGTGTAATCCAACGAGGAGGAACAAGCTCATTCATAACAATATATCGCCCATATGTTTCTTCAGGTGAAGCCTTTCAGGATAAAAACACTACGTGGGCACTGGTGCACAACCACCCGTGATCTTCCAGCACATCGTGGTCTTGTACATTGACAAAAGATTTACTAGCGTTGCCCACATAATGGCAAATGTCAGGTAGATCACCGTGATGATACCCATAACTCGGCTAGACCCGCCCGTGCGCTTTAGTTCCTGCGTCTCAGCTTTCTGACGAGGCAGCAGCGGCAAAAATGCCAATGACAATAACTTCATGCCGTAGCAAATCCAAATCGTGATAGTCACGTCACGCCGCACGATGTACGTGTCGTCCTGAATGTTTTTCAGCCAGACATGGAACTGAGCGTTCACGAGCTTGGCCACGGAACGACCGAATGGCATGGTAAGGTTGGTTGTGGCAGTTAGCACGCCATACAACGCACCTTCGTGCCCAGGTTCAGCCAGCTCTACCACCACATAGGTGGCAATCATGAAGCGAACGCCATCGGGAAGATACTCGATCATCGGCACACCGAGCCAGAACCATTGGTTGCGAACAACGTCCCAAACAGTCAACATGGTCATAAACGCATCGACGGACAGAGCACCACACATGGTGATAATGATAATTGTACGCCAATTCCAGTTGAGACCGTACTTGCCTGTGAGGGCTAGCGTCACGGCATAGAAAATTGTGCCCACAATGGTCATCACACTGTTGTTAAAAGGTGTGGCGTGGACCCAATACAGCTTGATGTTGCTGGAAGACACGATATTGAAGCTATTGAAAACGCCAGAGAAAAACTTGTACGCCACGATCTGGTAGATCGCACGTTGCTGCAGCATGCCCCAGAACAATGCCATGTACTTGACGAACGTCGGCCTCGCAACTACTCGTTCTTCGTGCAGGAGGAACCAAGATACAAAGACCAGAGGGACGCAGACAATGCCTGACATGAGCATAAGCTGCTGGAAAGTAAGCGAGAAATCGAAGCTTCCGGCATACTCTTCCCCATTCATGAAGAAAGCAATAACGGCGGCACCAACTGCAGTGAACGAAGTCTTGACAGCATAGACAGCAGTCTGGACACGGCCACGTTGTTCAATAGGCTCGCGCTGTGCGTATTCGACAACCATAGCATCGGCAGCTACCTCGCAGATCAAATAGCCGAACGACGCTAGCATCATGGAGACTACGTACTTGCCTGCTGAGTTCGGGGCATCTGCGTTAATGCTGGCAATCTGGTCTTCTGTCCAATCTTTTTCATCAACGGCGCGCATTGCAGCGTCTCCGTAATATGGATCAGGGATAGTCATCGCAGCCATGATGAAAAGAATCGTGACGCAGAACACCCAGCCAATAACCATATATGGACGACGACGATAGCCCATGATTGGAAAGCAGTCACTGATCACGCCAAAAAATATCTTGTAGCACCACGGAATCTGTACGAGTACAGTCGCAGATACGAAAATAGTTCCCTCTGCGTTCAGGTATCCCTGGAGCACGGGGTAGATGACACCAGGAATGATACCTGCAAGGAAACCAACACCTGCATACTGAGCCAATAGTCCGATACATTCTTTGGACAGCAGCTTTTGTTGTTTTCCTTCACGGAGTGCTCCATTCTCCATGTCGGGAATAGATTCCTTTGGCGGTGTTTTGTAGCTAGAATATAACGGATCCTCCGTGTTGCGGCGAATACTGGAGATAGCGCTGAGACGCTCCATTCCCGCTGAGTATTTATTGACGTCAGTCATCTTGGTGTTCCACTTAAGGCAAGTGTCCTTCGAAGTAGAACGATTTTAATACGAAGTACACCAAATGGCTGATTTAGTGATTCGTCGTCGACTGGCTAAGGGATCTCCGACGGCGGTCGCTCACATTGCATCGATTTTGCTATCTGACCTGGTTACATAGGTGTGGGGTGGCCCGGCGCATCGCGGATACAAACACAGATACGGCGAGGCAGTTCCTTTTTAATCGACTGTAAGGGGGTGCTGATAGTTAAAAAAACTGCGCTTCATAGGATGATACGAGGGGATACGGATTTACCGGACACGAAGACGATATGGGCACCATACATGTGTTATTACGGGCTCATGCCTCGACAGAATATTGTCTTTAAGATGAGTTATCTAGCATTTTTTACCTCTTACGTGGTCTGAAACAACTACGGTTGCCACTCTTGAATCTAGTCTGACCAGTATGGACATGTGCGAAGAAAGCAATGCTCTTTTAACCAACGATGCAAACGCAGCGATTGTCACAGTGGAATACGGTACGCACCCTTCCGTCCCTCAACTGTCGAAGACAGTCCATTCTGTTGACAAGAAGTTAGAAGATGGCGCGTTAAGAGCAGGACCACCTCCAAAATTGCTGTCCCCTGAGGTCCTGGCCTTGTTGATGCAATACGCTGGTATCGGATTCATCAATGGAGTACTACCAGCAGTCATCTACCCCGTGCTGCAAGGATACCTCAATGCTGAAGGAACTATTATCGTGTCTGCAACCGTGTTGCTGCAGCTACCGTGGTCCTACAAAGTGTTTCTAGGAGTCCTGAGTGATTGCTTTCCAATTGTAGGCTTTCGTCGACGACCCTACATGTTGATTGGGTGGCTGCTCTGCTGTTGCATGCTTTTCATGATGGCGACTCTTCCCGACACAGCTCCGTACTATGGCGACCCAAGCATGCACTTCACGAGCCCCGACGAATGGACGGAGACGCAACGCAAGAGCATTAATCCCAATGCACCTGACGCTGCGGGCAAATACGTGATCCCAATGATGATGGTCGCCTTCGGATATTTGCTAGTAGAGGTTCCGGCTGACGCTGTCACTATCGAGTACTCACAGCGGGAGCCAGTCAACGCGCGTGGTCATCTGCAATCGTGGATCCACAGTCTTCGCATGGGGTTCAGCGCTTTAGGAGCCCTCGTCGTTGCAGTTGCGTTTAACGGTGTCGAGTACGGTGGCTCTTTTGACTTCTCGCTCACTTTCCCGCGGTTAATGTTTTTCATGGGCTGTGTCTGCCTTCCTCTGGGACCTGCTGCTTGGTTTCTTGTTTACGAGAGTCAAGTTGACCCACCCAAGTTTCGCGTGTACATGGCTCAATTTTGGAAAGTCTTACAAAAGCGAGCTGTGTACCAAGTCGCTGCCTACAAATTCTTCTCAGGTGTGTGCAACAACTTCAATATTGTTTCTTCAAGTAACATGAAGTTGTACTGGGTCCACGCCACACCATTCAATGCGAGTATGATGGCTATCGTAGGGACCTTTACCTACGCTGGCACACTGGCTGTTATGGCACAGCGCGGACTACGCTGGAATTGGCACATTGCTATCGCCACAACTGTCATCTTTGGTGTTGCCACTGATTGTTTAATGACAATGATGGTCACATGGGACATCATTCGCAGCCAATGGTTCTGGCTTGGAGTTCCAATCATCGGTGAAGTTCCGCATGCTGTGCGTTTTATTGTGAGCAACTACATCGTAGTGGAGCTTGTTCAAGAGGGCACTGAAGGTGCACTTTATGGGTTGTTAACAACGACTAACCACGTCGCCGCCCCTTTCGGCCGCACTACTGCCAAGATCATCAATGCACGTTTCCATGTTTGGAAGAACGACATCATTGCCGACACGTACGAGACGCGTCGAGATGTGACTTTTACAATTTGGCTTTGCTATGGCATGAAGTTCGTCTCGCTGATTTTTTTACCGTTGCTTCCAAACCAAAGAGATACAACGCAAGCTCTTTGTCGTCAAGGGGAAGTGAGCAAATGTAAGGGTATGTGGATGGTAGTAATCCTATTAGTTGCGTTGGTGTGGTTTACTGTCGTAAACGTGTTGAGCATGAACCCAGCGACAAAATGTTGGACGATCACAGGAGGCTGTGAGTCCAAATTTTTTTAGTGGACACCATTCTTTTCTAAATGACTCGGTTCAAAATTAAGTACATTTCCAACCAATGAAGTATCTCGAATCGTGTGGTTATGCTGCGTACTCTTCGGGCACGTTGGGTGCATGGCTCAGCGTCGCTATTACAAGGCTCCAACATTCCCAGTAGTAAGCTAAGCTCATTTCAAGACGACGATGACAAAGGTCTAGTTCGACTGGCAAAGCTGATGGCTCAACAAGGTCTCTGTTCTCGTCGTGAAGCTGATGCGTACATCCAAGCAGGAGATGTGCTGGTGAATGGCAAACAAGTGCAGGCTAAATGGATTACAGTGCCTAGAGACAGTGATGTTCGTCTAGACTTTCGAGCTCAAAGGCATCAGAATGAAAAGGTGACGCTAATACTGAACAAACCATTGGGCTTTGTGTCGTCCCAGCCTGAGTCGAACAAGACACCAGCTGTTCGACTGCTTACCTTTGAAAATGAGTGCCAAGTCCTTAGCCGTGTCAAGCCTCGACAGAATGCGGAACCTCTGAGTTTGCAGAAAATGGCGGTATGTGGTCGTCTGGACGTCAACTCGTCGGGGTTGCTGCTCTTTACGCAAGATGGAAAAGTGGCCAAGAAGCTGTTGGACCCCAAGGGTGGGATCGAGAAGGAATATCTCGTGCGTGTAGACCTCAATCTGGATCCAGTAACAGGTGAGATTCGTAAGAAGGTGGAGATGCTGCGGGCTGGTGTGACATCTGAGGAAGGTATCACATACCGAGCCAAGTCGGTGGAAGTGCTGAACGCGAATCAGTTGCGAGTGATTCTTACGGAAGGAAAAAATAGACACCTTCGTCGCATGTGCGAACATGTCGGACTGGGTGTGGTGGCTCTTAAGCGTGTTCGGATTGGAAGTGTGAAGCTAGGGTCATTGCCTGTTGGGCAATGGAGATACTGGCAACCAACTGACAGAATTTAGAATGAAATCCAAAGAGCGTCTGATCTCTGCAGACCGATAATTGTCGGTCGCGTTAGCAGCTCGCAGGAAGCGTTGATCTACGCATGAGAGACAAATAAGCTTTCACAGGGCGTTGCTATGCATACATCGCAGTATAACGGATACAAGCACCTAATGCTCTTTTGTGAAGCAATTTCCTTCCTTCGCCAGCAGCGTACGCTTCTTCTGGATACAGAGTGAATATTCGCCAGTTGCGCCGTAGAGTATTCACATTACTTGTCAATGTTGCGTCAACGGCAGATTCTTCGTATTCACCACGCATCTTGAAAGCCACCAATGTCTGCAACCACACGTGATACTATTTGCAATACTTAGCTCTTTAGGGGCACACACACAAGGCCAGCGGTTAAGACGCACGTGTAAGGTTTGACCAACGTATCGTGGCCCAGAGTGAAGCACCTGAGCTACGCCACCATAGGTGCTTACCTTGCCAACAGGAATCAGCAACAAGAAAATGTAGTTAGTCGCGACGCCAGCCTTTTGTTTTGTCGTCGTCTTCGCTGGAGCCTGTGTTTGTTTCGTGCTGCGAATTGACATCTTGCACTAGTGAACTCGATAGTGTGGCAACGTTCTTAAGTGATAAGTGTAGTTCCCTCTTTAGTTGGCGCCGAGAGCGAAAGACTGGCATCACAGCACTAGAATACGCACGGAATACGAGCATCTGAAAGCAGTGGGAAAAGCCTGGCAATCGTTCGAGTTCAATGCGATCGTTCCATTATCTCAAGTAGGAGAGGTGTTTTATAGCCAAGATATACTATTCGCTAGCTCAATGGAACACCCACCTCTTCTCTAGCCTCTTCCTCTCACCTTGCTATCTTGCCACCGAAAGATAGAATCCTAAATCAATCTACCGTCGCTCGACCTGTATAGCAAGATTCACCCACTTCTTCTTAGACGGTCCCTTCTTCTGCTTCTTGTCCTCATCCTCAGCAGTCTCCTCTACCTCGACTTCCGCAACGGACACCACCTTACCAGTAGCATATTCCTCCTCAATCGCATCATCCACGCGGACTTTGACCATGTGCTCGCCCAGGGTCTTAATGGGTGCCGGCAGATCAATTCGGGCTACGCCCACGATGAGGTCGTGCTGCTTCTCCAGCATGTCCGAGATATTCTGAACATTCACCTCGCTATGTAGCTTGACATCTGCCTTGCTGGCCGTATGACGTTTAAACACTACCTCAATATTGCTCAATTGATGAATGATCGCCTCAAGCTCGTGCTCCTTCTCAAGCTGCGTCTCATCCACCGACTCCTTGTCGACCTTGTACTTCTGGAGATTCGCCTCTGTAGCATACACTGCTAGCTTTTCAGGGTACAGATAGTTACGAGCGTAGCCTGCTTTTACAAAAACCTCATCACCACGATATCCGAGGTTGCCCACGTCCTCCTTGAGCACCATACTCACGCGATGTCTGCCAATCACCAGTTTAAAATAAATTAATATAAACATTCCCGATGTAATCGTACAGTTACTTCAAGATGATTAAACTTGATTAAATGTCACGTACGCAAAAGACCGAACGAGAAGCGGCTTAATGCCCTGCTGTCGCTGCAGCACCTTCGTCGTCATTCGCGCCAGCATAGTAAGAGCCTCTGCGATTATGACAACCACAAAAACAGTGTCGATAATAAACCAATTATAATCTTATGTATTGTGTACCACATGAAAATATTCGACATTTAAGAGATAAAATTTAATACAAGGACAGAACTCCGTCCGTTTAGTTCTGGATATGGAATCATCCAATCACCATTATATGTTGTACTTAGTACTACTGTATCACTAATGGAACCGATATTAATATTATAAGGTATTACCGATACCTCAAAGTGTTACTCATATATAATACCTCTTTTTAGAAAGGATCGGGATTAAGAATTCATTAAATGCAACACAGATACCTTCAACCGTGATGTACTTTCGGTGTGATGTTCCAACTGCCGTGTAACCCCGTTACAATTTCTCTTCGTGATGTGAATAAGCATGTCGTAACGGCGCAAAAACCCTATGACAGCTAACAAACTCTCCACTAAATCATCACCTTCCAAAGCTCCTTGCTTACTATTGCTGCTATTGTCCTTGCGTAAAGCACAAATCTTTGCGAGGAAGAACCTTCCGTGGAAAAAGTAGCAGTACCTCCATGACATCGATATCGCTCGAAAGTAGTTCATTGGTTCCTGTCTACGTGCCGATCGAATACCTTGAAGCCATAATCCGCAATAAATTCTGTTGATCAACGTTGCTCAGGCAAGCACGCGTAGTAACTAAAAGCAACGATGCGTCACCTAAATTTTGATGTACTTGGTATCCAAACAAGTGATTCGAAGTAAATGTTTGCATCGTTTCTTTATAATGTTCAACACGTTACATTCCTTTTGGTACCGTTTACCCGCAATTACTTCCCCTCAAACGAGCACTTATATAAAATTCCGTTGGCAGAAGAAGTTCGATTCAACCACATTGTTAGCGTTTCGTCAGATATGTAAATAGCCTTTTCAGAAACGTAGCGCCACGAACTTGCCGAACAAACTCGTGTTATGCTCTTTTTTTTTGCACAAGGAAATGGGCTGTCTGGTAAGAGGTGCCAACGTCGTCGAAAAAGCCGAGGTTGGCGAAACGCACAGACAGGAATGAAAATCCATCTGAAGAACGGAGTGGCTCATTCTAATGTTCCATAGGCTCACCCGGCTGCGTGATTTCGATACCCGTGTATTTCTTTAACCGCGAGCACGACGTGTGCTCCCATGAACGCTGGTTCTATGACTTGTTCATTGAAAGGTCAGTCGTTTTTACCCTTCTCGCCGGTTGAGCAAGCGTAATGAGCCAATTTCCTGGTCGTCGAGGAAAGCATGATACTTGGTGTACAGCTAGAGCTTACACACACGGACGCGTTCTTGGTCCTTGAGGTCCTAGCAGATAGCAGCCTGGTCTGCTGGTCGCTGGTGACGACGATATTATAATAGTTTCTTCGTGTCACCCATGGGCGATGCCATTTAGCAACGATGTAGCAGGTCGACACGGTCGAGAGGAAGGCACTGCTAAAAGATGCTGCAGCGTGAGGGAGATGAAGAGCTCTAGCAGAAACTGGAGCAGGCCCCAGCCTTAAAACGCAATGCATCGGTCCAGTCAGCAAAACCTCATCATTTTTTCAGTGGAAGACGCGTCGAGCGCAAGATTAAACGATACGCCTTAGTCGTCCTCACAGGCGTTTTAACATAATAATCCCTGGGTCCTAGTTAGTGGCTTAGAACAATGACGCAAAGAGTAATGCACGCTGTCGAGTGCAATTGCAAACCGTTCTAGGTGTACACAACTCGCTGCGCATCCACCCCAAGCTACCACGTGCTCCCATCACGCGCTACCAAGTCGAGGATACCGTAGAAAACTTGTAAGCTTCACAGTCTCAACCTTATGTTTTTATATGGACTGTTTGTGGCGAACGCACGTCGTAACGAATTGACAGCCCTGTTCTTTATCATTTTCTTGAATGCAAGAGTCGAATAATATTGAAAATTATAACGTAAAATGGGAAAGCATGGGACGTATATTCATGAGCGCCGGCCAATTGGACTTCCAACCTGTTGTAAAGATCTTGCCCGATGCAGCAACGATGCACTGTGCTGCTAGCGTACATCTCATTGATACCCGATCAATTTGAGTGTTTTCAACATGAGTGCGATGGAGGCCAAACAGGTATCGTGCTCTTACTGTATATAGCAAGTCGTACGCTCCAACTGCTTCGTTATTTGCAACCAGATTAACTTTTAAGGCCACGATCAACGGCAATCGATTGTATGTAGGTACTCAGGAATAAGCAACAACAACGTTTGTGACCCCCTCCACGGTGTCTAGTCTAGCGAGCTTCTATCAGAATATGCGAACTCAGTAGTGCCACCCACCTCTGTCTGCAAAGCAGCGGTCACATTTCCCAAGGAGACTCTCTTGAGACGCGAAGTAATAAGGACACATATGTTCTCGGACCGTCCGTGAAGCAGCAGCTTTAGGCACTCTGCATTGTCAGCACTCCATATTTGTAAGAATGTTTTCATCAGCAAGCTCATGTCCACCATGAGTAAGAAGTACACACCTTAAAAGACGCGCAGCATGGACTAAAGTAGAAACTTACTAATGAGCAAACTTTCGCAGGATCACCCTTAAGAACGTTCGAGCTTGCTCACGTACAAACAGCTGTGATGTCCAACCAGCAAATAAACGGCGCGAGTAATTCAACGTGATTATCTCCTCTTCACTCATACTGCTTCATTCCAATCACCTCTTTCCCGTGCTTTGTTTTATCGCGATCTTCACGGAGAACATCAAGTACCTTCAGCGCGGTAGGAAACGGTATTCGTGGTTATAACGAATAAACAACAAAAGATCGTGATGGCTGCCATTGAGTCTCTGTTCATGGTACCACCGATTGCAGCCTTCGTCCAGGTTCGCGAAATGGTTTGCCACTCTCGAACGAGTAGAAAGATGCCACCAGAACCACATCTCGTCGCGATGGCCAATAAGGTCTACGATGGCCTTTGTGCCAATGACTCTGCAATCTCGACGTCCGATAACAGCTGTCACAACAGCAACTCATGCACGTGCTAGTCGAAGAAGCAACAGCGACATAAGGGTTCGCACCGTTGCCAAGCTGATGCGTTTCGTGACCGACACTCTGTGGTTTTGTATCTCGGCTGTACAGTTCCTTTCGCTTTCTGTGCTAGTTGTAACTCATATGTGTACGGCCGGCAAATTAGCGACCGAAAGGTGCCACCTGTGCGATTCCACAACCATCGACTAAGAAAAGGTAACTTGTCATGCTAGTCCTACTCACTTGCTTCTTTAAAAGTGCAAGCATAGGCGGGTGGTCACGATTCGAGCGTAGTTAAGTTGATAAGGCACGGCATCAAAGCGACCTCAGCAATTTTTAATGTCAGCGATATCAATGTCCAAGTTCCAGATACTTCGTCAAACTCACGTTGAATCTCGTTGGACCCCTTGGTAGCAGGAAACGTTAGTACTGCATCGCATGAGCGGTATCGAGGTCGCCACATTTCTAGCGTCGGTATTCTGTTAGCAAATGCAAGTGAAGCCATTGTCATCAGTGCTGGCCTCTGTTTCCCGCAGAAGATCTAGCATTAAGCCTGATGGACAATCGTCATCCTACTGACATTTAATGCTTGCCATGTGGTCAACATTCGTTATGCGGAGTTCATTGGTGGCAGACTCCTGGCAATAGAATACAGAGGAGATGATAGCTGGTGAAAGTGTTGTCGATTCGAATCTTTGGCTGCATCGTGATTATGGTGAGAAATTCCACCTTGCTAATACACAGCCATCAGTTACGTATCTACATATTATAGTGGCCTGGTAGTATCTATTTATATGGGTCAGAGCTGTCAGCTCCTGTTGACAGCTCGTGACTGCAGCATTTACACATAGAAATAGTAGAAAAGGACAAATATCTCAGAGGGACAATGAGCAACAATTACATTCTACCCTTATCTCTCGTAATGCTGCTTCTCTGGCAGTTACTGCTCGTGGATCTCTCCTACTGCTCACGGCTATGGCTGAGGTTATAGCGACTACGATCCCATCATCTTTGGTGCATTTGTCTATGGCCACAATCATCTCAAAACGGCCGCTACAAATTCTCTCAGACTTCGATCGCATTTGGCTCACTGGGTGGCCCACCTCAACCAATCAGCTTCCCAAATTATGGCGTCGCCATCTTCCTTATCAGCCAGGGGAAATTAGGACTGTTATGAAAACGGGTGTATGTGCAGAGAGTCATCATCGTGTTCGTACGTGGATCAAGTAGGGGCGAGGTAGATTCATCCGTCCCAATAGCGTTGCCATACCTCGTCTAGTCTGTTTAATTTAAACCAGGCAAGAATCTGCGATTTCTCAATCCTGTCGCAATCCGCATCCTCAACAACTGCAGACGGCAGCCATGGGTGATCAGAATATAACATTTTAACGGATTCGCTGGGACTGCAGCCATTAATGTTATGGGGATAGCCAGCTAGCCAGGAATACGAGGTATCGTAGCCGTAGTCGTCCAGACCCATAGCTTCAAGCCAGTGCTTAAGCAGCGTCTCCTCTTCTGCTGACGGCTGTTGACAACTACACATTGGATTCTTCGTTTGATTAGGTGCAACTGTTACCAACAACAAAGAGAAGTTAGAGCAACGACGTGTGATAAATGACGATGTTTGATACTACATTAGGCATCAAGCTTTCCAAAATAAAATAACGCAAATACAATCACATACTCGGATTAGTCTGATGGCAACTTCCTTTAATGGTGTCCACTTTCGTAATGCTCGAAAGCTCTAGCGTATTCGTCCACGACTGCTCAAAGATCACCACTTGATATGGCGAGGGCGTGCAGGATGCCAGCGTCACGTTAGAGCACTTGCCTTCCGACATCAAGACATTGCAGCCGTTGATGTCGAGCATGTAGTTGATGCCAGCCACCACTTGCGCTTTTACTGAAATCACGTCGGACCAGCACACGCGCATGCTACCCACCGACTCGGAAAAGCTCGTGCTTCTAAGTGCGGCTGTCAATTTGTCCGTATATGCGG